TTCACAGGATTAGACAACTGGGAATGGGAGGAAGTGAAGGGGAATGGGAATGGAAAAGACTGTAGAATTAATCAGACATAACTTTCCTATGTTCATATATGAATATACAACCAGTATAATTCCACATCATGTACAACCACAAAAATGAGAATTATACTCCATGCATATATGATATATAAAAATATATTCAAAATATATAATTACATATATTTTGAATATATTTAACTAAAAAGAACAAATAATTTTAAAAACAACATGTGATATGATATAGAATGCTATTTAGAAAACATATGAACTTCTTATACATACAACAACATGGATGAATATCAAAAACATTAAGCTGAAGAAAAGAAGCTAGACATTAAAGTACCCACGTATAAATCCACTTAAGTGAAACTTCAGAGCTGGGCACTGTGACATACATTTGTAGTCCCAGCTACTCAGAAGGCTGAGACAGGAGAATTGCCAGTTTGAGGCCTGTAACTTAGTGACATCCTATCTCAAAAAAATAAAAAAGGACCAGGGATGTAGCTCAGTGGTAGTGCATCTCTGGGTTCAATACAGAGTCTGCAGAAAAGAAAAGGAAAGAAACTACAGAGAAGACAAAACTAGTCTATAGTGACAAGAAGTAGATCCATGGTTGTTTGGGACAGGGGGAGGGAAGGTGGGTAGAGATTATCAAACAGTAAAGGGGAAGAGGGGACTTTTTTTATGTAATAGAAATGTTGATATCTTGATTGTGATTTTAGTCACATTGTTATTTACCTTTGTGAATACTCATCAACCTGTACACAAAATGGGTGCATTTTTATTGCACGTAAATTACATTTCCATAATGTTTTAAAATGTACTCACAGAATACAAACTCTTCTAAAAAACAGAATACTTCCTAACTCATAAGACTAACATTATTTTAATACTAAAACCATAGAATGACATAAAAGTCCCACAGAACGTTTTGTACATTATTATTAGCCTTCTATTATGAAAACACACTGATTAAACATTTAAAGACACATCAGTACTTACAGTAGGAAAAGGGAAGTTTGGATGACAGATAACTGTAGCAAGAGAATCCTAATACATGTAATCTAATTTTTTATTTTCCTGAACCCTTGCCATATTTATCTCTTTTTTAAAAAATGCATCTGCTAACCAATTTTCTATCAAAATACATCCTTATTGTTAAGACAAAAATACTAATATTTGTTTTGAAAAGCATGATCCCTACAGCTTTCAATACTTTTAATATTCTTCAAAATTCTGTCAAAATCAGGGTTAAAGTTCACTCAATCACAATACATAAGTTAAATCACATCTTAAAAATTTATGACCTTATCATGTACATCCATAAGACCAGGAATCCTAAGTAGAATAAGATATATTCCATGTTTGTATAAATATGTCAAAATAGATTTTACTGTCATATATAACTAAAAAGAAGAAAAAAAAATTATGATCTTAGGGCCTATTCACTTTTTGTGTGAAAAAAAAAAATCAGACATATACCATAGTAGAGAGATTACTGTTACAAACTGCCATACATCATTATCAAGATTATAAAATTCAAGATGTTTCTATTCTTGCTTTCTCTTTTTTTCTTTCTTTTAAAAGCAAATCTTAGACATCCGTCTCTTCAGTGATATACACCTCAATATGTATCCCTTTAAAAATGAATATTTAAGACTTCTTTTTAATATTGTTTTTGTAGAGCTGGATACATTAGGTTGCTTTCTTGATATGCTAGATGTCTGGTTGAATTCTTGGCACCCTTCTTTGACATTGTAATTTTTCAACTTCTAAAACCCACAGCAACTATATAATTAATTTTAAAAATCTTTTAAAGAACATTCTTTCCTATAGGGTTTCATTAAGTGCCTTTGGCTTATAGCCTACCTTAAAGCTCGACATGTCATTTAAATATAGCATAAGCCTCAATTTTTCACTTGACAAGGAAACTCATTTCTGGGTTTCACAAAATGATAGAAGGAAATAAAACTGGTTACAAAGGCCTAGCCAAAGAAAAAATTATCCAGAACTATTTAAAATGGATATTATATACCTACACAAGTACATATTGAGTACAAAAACATTTATATAATTTCTTAAAAGTTAGAAAATATTCAAGCAAGTGAATCAGTAAGAGCTTTTCTCAGTAATTCATGATCAAACATTCTTTCACTGTAACAAATCTACAGATATCATATCACTATCCACTCTACTAACTGACAAAAAAAAATCAGTATACTAAAAAAAAAAAAAAAAAAAAAAAATCAGTATACTGGATCTGGAAAATAAATATGTTTCCTATGGCTACTGCTTTGTTTTAGGAAAAAACAAAAGAGTATGCCATCATTAATGATTCATTACATCATTAAAATGCAGCTATCACTGTGTATCAGTTGTGCCAGAGTTGAGCTGTTGAGTTTCTGAAAGCTAAACACTAAGATCTTAAAAGCAAATAAAGGGACCTTCTTCCATCCAACAGATTTTTCACTGACTGGTCAAACAGTAATTTGACATACTAGAAAAGATAAGATATTAAATATATCTTACCTCCCTGTCTATGGAAAAAGGCATAAGAAGATAGCAACAGAGTAATCAATTGGAAATGGGGAGAAAAAAAAGTGTTTTGTTTTTTTTTTCCCTCTGTCAAATAACATTTTTGAATGGAAGGATTCTTCAGGCTGTCAGTCTAAAGGATTTTGTGAGCTTTCCTTGCCTGTTTTTAGTACTCTCACTTTTAAATAAGAATTAACTGTGAAAGAAAGTTACTCCAAGGCACATAAAACTTGGGTTGCATAGTTTACTTCACAACTCTTCTACATGAGGTCTAAACCATCCACCTTAGAAACAGCCCAAAGGATTTATTCACAGGCCAAAAAACAAAACCTCAAAACAAAACCAGGAAGCCTGAGAGATAGCCCAGTTTGAATCTTACTAAATGATACAAAGACACATAAATCCTCAGCTGACCTATTTAAGTATAAAAAGAATAACAACTAAGATGTATGTACAGATACCAACTAACTTGTGACTCCATAAGGTAACAGTGCTTTCACACATGCATTATTCATTCATTATGTGTCCGAACCTGTAGATATAATTGAATCTAACAGAAACCATTAAATCAAGTATGGTTGTATAAGAGTATGACAGTTATTAGGGAGCCAGATATCTTAGTGAGTTAAAGAGAACTTAACCAATACCATTTAATAAAAAATTTTAAATAATACAGCTAATTTACCCACTTTTACTGTGTACTTAAAAAATAAAAAGCCAAACTATAAATTTATCCTAAGAATAACCTCTGAGGCAATTTTATAGTGAATATTTTTATTTGTTCTTTTTTTCCCATCAACTTCACCACCCCCCAAAAAATACATAAAACCTAAATCTTACAAATGTTAGAAGTTGTTGCAAATAGCTGCTGTTTTAGCTAAAAACAATCACTATCCTTTAAAGTTCTTTCCTATTTTCTTTTTTTTAAAGCAGATATAATTAATTTTTTAATATTTATTTTTTAGTTGTAGTTGGACACAATATCTATTTTATTTTTATGTGGTGCTGAGGATCCAACCCAGGACCTCGCACGTGCTAGGCGAGCACTCTGCCACTGACCCACAATCCCAACCCCCTATTTTCTTGTTAACAGATATGACTGTCTATTTTGCTAAACGTTAACAGTCTCTATAGTAAAAAAGAAATTTCCTGAAAAAAAATAGTAATCTGTGAATGAACTGGAGGTGCTTTTGGGCTTTGTTTTGTTTTTTATTTTCTTGGTACCAGGAAATTGAACCAGTAAATTCAGGAATACTTAATCACTGAGTCACATCCCCACCCCTTTTTATATTTTATTTAGAGACAGAATCTCGCTAAGTTGCTGAGGCTAGCTTTGAACTCCCAAGCCTCCTGCCTCAGCCTCCCAAGCCATTGGGACTATAGGTATGTGCCAACACACCCAGCTTAAAGGTGCTTTTGTTTAATTTTTACCTGTATAAGAAACACATTAAAGATCAACTAATTAAGGACAAGTCATCTTTCAGTCTTAGGAACACAATGTTTGAAGTAAGGGAAGATGCTGCCAGATATCTTTCCCTTCATATGAATAGGTTTTTATATTTACTATTGCCATTTGTCTGGAACAAAGAAAAGGTTTTACTGCCATTTGTTGGTTGGAGAAAGTCACAGGATGGATTTTTCATTGGCACAGATTGATGTAAAATAAATATTAAAAATTGCAGATCCTCTTAAAAAGAAGTGAGGATGATTATCTCACTACATTTGTAACAGTTCTTTTTCAGTTCTTTTTATTTTTCTTGCAATGACATACAAGTGACGCTGAAAATACAGGTTACACAGCAGTCACTGTACACACTTTATACCTAGAAAAAGTGTACTCACAGAGTAGGAACAGTGGAAACTAAAAGTACATTTTATGGTAGTGGTGCCAAAGATTTAAAAACATGTATATATTATCACTTGAGGGAAAGAACAATCACTTAAATAATTGGGCTTTATGAAGATCTAGGTGTTGGAGAGACAGCTAAAGTATTTAAAAAGTATATAAAGGGGATGTGGCTCAAGAGGTAACACGCTGGGGATGTGGCTCAAGAGGTAACACGCTCGCCTGGCATGCACGGGGTGCTGGGTTCGATCCTCAGGACCACATAAATTAAATAAAGTTGTTGTGTCCACTGAAAACTGAAAAATAAATCTTAAAAAAATTCTCTCTCTCTTCTCTCTCTCTCTCTCTTAAAAAAAAGTATATGACAATATTTAAGCATTTATCACTAAGATAGCACTGAATTACTAAGTTATTTAACTAGTTTCCAAGTCTTAAGATGATTTATCCCAATACCCAAAATGATAATATTCTCTATTGAAATCAGGAAAAAAGGCTGTAAAATGTAGTTGAGCACAGGCTTTCCACACAGTAGTTACAAGTTGCTCAAGAGTAGAGTGCTAAAATTTATTTTGATTTTCTTAAACTCACTCACTTGTGACCAATCTCATGTGCAATGGTAAAAGCTGAACCCAGGCCAATGTCTTCATTAATGCTGCAGCTCCTTTCAGGCTCACACATTCCAGCCACAGAGGCCAAGCCTGAATAAACAGAAAGAGACACAAAGGGTCAAGCCAAGGTGTTTCAGTCTTAAAAAAGCCCATACTTATAAATGCCTGGATTCTTTTTAATAACCTCCATGCACAGAAGGAGCAGTTGGCAAAAGGTTAACTTTCTAGTCATTTGCAAAATCACTGGGGGGAATTTCACTTTGCCGGCTAGACATTAATATTTTTTGAACTGCAGTCAGTGCTGGAAAATGTCTAGACGAGGGGTTAGATTTATAAATTTTACTTCTGGTAACTTGGGACCACCTAGTAACTTGAGCCAGAAGAGGGAATTTAAGAAAGCATTTCTATTTTAACATTCTTCAGGCTGTAGAAAGCAAAATATATCCACATTATTTTTCTAAAGAGATCTGTTTAAGTTTAGTGGGTTCATAAAAATATACAAGCAACTTTTTAGTTACAAAAAAGGGAGGGGGGAATTCGTATTTTTTAATGACATTTTTATAAAAACAAAATGAATGATTCAAAGGAGAAAAAATAATTGAAAGATGGGAAGTTTTTTGCATATTTTTAATCTTCTGAAATTAGTCCTGATAGTGATACAACAATTTCTTTTAGTACTTTTAATGGGAGGAAAGTCATTCATACATTCAAGGTAGTTTTCCTCTCCCCGACCCGCTTCAATGCATTAGAGTTTTACTAATAAAGCAAAAACTGTGGTGTTAACTTGCTGATTCTAGTGAAATGTTATGTTACTCAAGGTATTCTCCCTTTGGGAATTTCAGTATGTAAAAGCTTTAATATTTACTTTCAAATCAATATCATGCTCTGTGAATAAGTATAGAACTTTAAAACAGTTCCAAGAAAACAGAATTTTTATGCAAAAGATGTAATTTGTTATTAGGAAATATATGCCAAATCATACTTAATATACTATCACAGAGATGAAAAGTTATTTAATAGACGTTTAAGGAAAAGAAGAAAAAAAATTTGTATATTATTGTCACTCAAATATTAAGAATTACCTCCCACCAAAAGTTAATTAAATTCAATGAGTATCATTATTAATGTTCTGTATTAGTACAATTTCCCCATTGCACTAATTACAAACAATGAATGCTATTCAGTTGATATTTTTTACTGACAAGAAAGTTCTGAAAATTGTGTTTCTCTGTATTTTCTAATATAAACATCAAAATAACAATTACAGTGGAACAGAATTGAGGACAGTGTTGGATGTACTAATAGTTTGCCTTCCCTGTTTTATATGGGCTTGGCAAGAGTTAGGGAATGGTTGATTTCTGCCTCAGAGTTGTTATAAAACAGATGACACGCTTGTGCTGCCCTTCCATTCCCTTGAGGTCTTGGGCCTGAAAAAGAGGATTTTTTTTTTTTTTTTAAAAGGAAGGATTGGGCAAAATGAATCAATTTTCTTGGCTAATCAAAAATATTTAGTAAATGTCACTCCAAATCTCCACTGAAAGACACATATATAGGCGCACACACATGCACACAGAGGAAGAATTTAAAAAATTTGTAACACATTATCTGGCTTTAAGCTATCAGTTTCAATTTGACCTGTCTTAGGGAAGACAAAGTCATGATGAGCAATATTCCTGTTCTGAGGCAAAAAAAAAATAATAAATAAATAAATAAATAAGAATTGTTAAAAACAATTATTGCTAAATGAACAGTTCTTACGTTTTCCTATATTATTCCACAGGCTATCTTTTTTTGGCTTAGTTGTTGTTTCTGCTGGATTGTTTTTTTTTTTTTGGTACAGGTCATGCAGCTCTATTTTCAAATTAAGAATTCTCTATGACTCTCCAGGGTATATTTATAAGCACAGATTTACTTCTGATATCTTATATAAAATAGTTAACTTTGGTAAAAGAACAACTTAAGAAAAAATATATTTGGAAAATAACTATTACTTGTTGAAACATAAAGGTAAGTCCTAATTAAAATGAGAACATTTTAAACACTAATATATTTTCACAAGCTCCCACCATTTTCTGGCTTCCTATAAAATTGAAGCTGTCAAAGTTCTTATGTGTGATTGTGTTAATAGGGGTTTGATTATTATTTGGGTCATTTAGATTTCCTTAGTTTGATGGCCACAGTTTACACCCTTAAACCTTACTTAGCCATATTAGAATTGATCATCAAAGTTATTAAGCAAGAAAATATGCAAAAATCAGTATGAAAATCAACACGAAAGTTACTACAAAAGTAATGATAATTTAAAGTAAATTATTAAAAAGTAATAACTTGTTTGAATCTATACTGATAATATATTTTCCACAGATGAAGGTCAAAACACACACACACACATATATATATATGCTGTTCATTCAGTTTTCACTATGAGAGATAGCACAAAAAATAATATATAATGGTCTATAATTTGAAAATAATTTATATTGAGTTTGAAAATCATTGTCATATACCGATTAATATATTGATTCTAAAGAAAAATAATCTATTGCATTTTGAACACATTATTAAAAAATCTAAAAAGAGAATAGAAAAATGCCTCAAGTTTTGGGCAATAATGACAATAAAAATACTACATAGTAGTATTACTATTGTCACATGAAGAATGTATCTCAATGTAAATACCTTTAAAAAGCAGGCAGAATAAAATGTGTGTGTGTGTGTGTATTATATAGAGATGTATGAACACATATACACACATTTCATTCATATACTAAATATATGTAATATGTATGCAAAATCAGTATAAAAACCAACATGAAAGTTACTAAAAAATATCACATATATACATAAGTGTGCGCGCGTGCACACACACACACACACACACACACACAGGCAGGTAGTTAAGTGAAACCATATAGACAATTTCTACATTAAATAAGACCTGTTCACTTTTATATAGTACTTCTTTACTAAATACCTTCATGTTTTCTTCCCAAAGTGATTTTAACAATATTCTTATAATAAAAGGTTAAGAATATTGTTAAAATCTGTTAAGAAATTGCTAATAAAATTGAGAATCATAGAGCTTAAATAAACTGTAAAAGGTAACGCATTAAAAATGTAAAAGCCAGTTAGTTTCCAGTTCAGGGTTCCCTTCAATGGTCTTGTTAACCTAAAACACTACAAAAAAAATATTTCTGATGTGAACTTTCTCAGCAAAAAGATCTCTTCTTGTGATATGTATTTTGACTAGCAAGCTTTTAATCATTTAAATCATTAGCACTGGCTAATTGGGATTTCTTCTTTAGCCATAAATCTTGAAGAAGTAGGGTAGGAGATGCCTGGAAAGGTAGGTAAAATCATCAAGAGAAATTCCAACCTTTGAGAAGATGTTTTAATGAACTGCCCAGGAAGTTGGATAGCACTCTTTCTCCTACATTGACTTTAATTATATCTTCCCAAAATAACTAGGTTGTGCAAAACAATCAATTTCATAAATTATTCCTTTACAGATAAGAAAACTGAGGCTTGTCATACAGAAACCAGAGTATTAACCTTTAGCTGCTTAACTTATGAATGAGTCTATAAAAAGTCTCTGACATTAAAAAAGTCATCGTACAATAAAAGCTCTTACTCCATAAAATAACTTTAGTTGCTTAGTTATTTAATACAATGTGAAGCTACTCTCCCACCATTTTTTTTTTGCAATTAACCTATATGAAATTATGTTCTGCAATAAAATGTTATTTTTAAAAATCTAGAGTACTGGGGTTGGGGCAGTAGCTCAGTGGTGTGAAGCACCGGGTTTAATCCTCAGCACCACATAAAAATAAATAAATAAATATTGTGTCCATCTATAACTAAAAAAAATTTTAAAAATTCTAGCGTACTAAAAAATACTTTAAAAAAGAAGAAAATCTAGAGTATTAAAAAATGCTTTTTAAATAGCAAATGATATTTAAGGAACACAAAAAGATAATCCTATATTCTCTCTTTGCCTCTGGCTATACTGTTTTACAAAATTGTCTTTTTATTTTTTTGTCAGGGTACTAAAATTTTCCAATAATATTTTAATTTATGGGAATATACTCTTTCCATAAAATGGTACCAAAAGAAGTATTGTTCTTGAGCCCTTCCCTTTAAGTATCTCAGATTTTTATCCCTTTCCTTTAATAGACTTGAATTTCAAGATGCTGAATGCTCTCAAACCTCTTGGCATTTTAAGAAAATACATTACAGAGACAGATTATATGAAAATGAGTGCTAACTTTGATTTGTAATTATTAGTTAATGATTTTGAATCATCTTGTAAATTGTTTTTAAATCATCATTCCATTTATCAGAGGGGGGAAAAAGCTAATGAAATTTATATAATCTTTATTATGAGAGTAAATATTTGTTTCCTACTAAATGAAAAGGTCCTTGGCCACAAAGGTCAAGTTTAACAATTTTTAGGAATAATTTCAGATGTACCAGGAAAGAAAATGACCAAGTTAATAATAAAGAGTATTCATTGGTCCAGAAAGATAATCTGAACTATTCTGTCTTTATATATATATATATATAAACACTTACCCAGTGTTCCACAGGGCTTATTTTTATAAGTGCAGATATCATATCTATAGAGGAGAAAAAAAGAGGTGAAATTTGTAATCTGATCGAATTTGTAAAATATTTTTGTGTATTCATCACATTTCTTTCTTGGCGCTCTGGTTGTCAGACCACAATCAATGCAATTATGAGCAGCCAGCTGGAGTGTTAGCATTGTCAGCACTCTGGGGGACACAGCAGGCTGCACAGCACTCCCAGCCTCTGGCTGCAAGCCAATAGGACACCTGCCAGTAGGAAAGAAGGTTAAACTGGATTTTTGTAATTGAAAGTTCCATAAAATTATCTACCATACTGTTTTGAAGCTATTCTGGCTTTTCTGTAGACTGCTACTGCTTCTACAAAAAAAAGTAAATGGGTGGCTTTTTATTCCCAAGCTCTTTTGAAACTGCTGAATTTTTTCTTATTATATCCAGAGACTGTATTTGATGTTACTGAGCCATAAGCACTCTTTGGAGTTCCTTCAACTCAAACACAGATTCTTGTTTTTTAAAAAAGACAATGTAATACAGCAAAGGAAATTAAATTGATACTACATATTTCCCCTAGTTGTATACCAGCAATTAAGCATGCTTAAAATACAAATATTTTAAAGTGATTTTACAAACAGATTAATGAAATGCTCAATAGAAAGCCTTCCTAATGTGGTCAGACTTACTCTAATGCTGCATTATAACTCAATACTAAAAAAAAGAATGAGTCCATAAAGTAATATTGCATATTTTAAAATATATTACATTTAGAATGCTAAATCAATGTTGTTGTACATTTTAAGTGTTTTCATAATCATATCCTAATAAATTAATCTTTAAAGCCAAAAGTATTTAGAGTTCCTAATTTAAAAGACTGATAACTTTTATTTCCTATGTTTTATGCTAGAAGAGAAAATTTTTCCAGGTAAAAAATTTTCAGAAACTAGAGGGAAATCCAAATTGTAAAAGTTCTCTTTTATTGTATATAAAGAATGGCTAATCAATATTAATTGGGCAGGAACTAGTAGTGAATTATACTCTTATTCATCAATCAACAGGCCAAAAAGTACTTTGGAGAAACAAATATAACATCCAGACATATCAGTAGTATTACTGAACCCACTGAAATCCCTGGAAATCCCCTCTGCCTATATTTAGAATTTTAAACTCTTCATCCTGTTCATTTTACATTTGAAGAAAGAGTTTTTCTTTTCCTCTTGAAGAACCTTTCTTTTGAACATTCACATATTTATCCCTTGACTTCTCTTACAATTGGTAAGCCATAGGATCACAGAGTTAGGAACAATCATGAATGTAAGATAGAGAGAGGGCATCAGTATACTCTCAAGAGTATCTTCTGGGTGTCACAATTTATCTTGTGATTATAGTGTGTTATGCCTGTTGCATTATATAGACACATTGTATAGGCACAACTCATTCCAGAAATCTTCAAAACAAAATGTGAACAAACACTTTTCATGTGTAATGCGGACATAAATGTTTAAGTAGAATCTATTTCCAAATCTTCAAATTCCACATGTGCCTTTTCTAAAATTGATCTGAGAATGCACTTGCAATCTACCAGTTTTCAAGTTGTCTTTCTCCTTTCATAATTACACTGTTTCTACTTTTAAAAAGAAAAAGAAAAAGTAGACATCTCATGCATCCTAAATCTTGTTATGGTACATTATCCCAAGTTAGAAGTCTCCAGAATATAAAGCAAAGGGATAACTCAAGGAAGCACTGACCCTGGGAAATAATAGCTTAGGAGCAAGGCAAGGAAAAATTGAAGGGAAAGATGGTTATTTCATCCTGGCAAGACTCTGCCTTTCTGCCAGTCCCCCTATTTATAAATTAATCTATATATCTATATTACAATTATAATTCAGAAATGGAATGGTTATCATGGAGTATATTCACATGTGCATTTAATCTAAAAAATGAAGTCAGATTTGTTATTGACAGACAATAAGTCTGACAAAGCAAGCAGTTTGGCATTGAGAACTGAGTCAGACAATCAGAGTATATAGTGAACATTTTTCATGATCGGGTGAGCTAAATATGCAGATCCAAAGATTTGACACAATTCACTTAAAGCATATAACAATATGTAATATATTTACTATAGTCTCAGCAGCTACTTTAAAGTATGGTTAAAAGCATTTTAGATAACAAATTTAAAATGTGCAAAGTGATACATCATTTAAAATATTCATTTAGAAGGTCAACAAAACAAAAAATATTAGAGACAACTAAGAACAATTTATATTCCCAGAGCAGAGCAGAGCAGTCCTTTCTCATGTTATTTTAATTCTATCTTTTATGCTGAATGTTATTATTCTTATTTTATATTGAATATTATGATGAGTATTATTTCATTTTGTAATACTGCCCTAAAATAATGCTATAAAGGCTAAAGCTATCAACCAATAATGTAAACTAAAATACCTTAGATTAAGATGATTTCAGTTGCATTTTCTTCAGGTTTCCCTAATCCTCTGAAAGGACTATAAAATTCTCTATAACATACTATGTAGAAAAAAAGTGTAACCTCCTCATGGCTTTTGTATTCTATTTACACTGTATTCTTCTATGTTCACAGAAAATAATTACAATCTATGTATTATCTTTAATAACCAAGTTCTAAAGAGCAACATTTTTACTTTCATTCCTCCATCCATGGGATTTTCTGAGCATTTATATACCCAGGCATACTATCATATACTAGGAACCTAAGTAAGTTAGCTGTACTCTATTTGGGAAAAGACACAAGTACATAAGCTGCAAGATAACTGGAAAGAAGATAAAATGCAATAAATATAAATTTACAGAATATAAGTAGTATTTGCAAGCAATTACAATGATTATTGCCATAATCAAGTTTTACACAAAATACAGAGGAAAAAATGATGCTACCTAGAAAATGCAGAAACACACAACTATAGGTCATAACATCTGAAACCATTTTAAATTGTTTAGCCACATAAAACACAAAAATGTTTCCAGGCAAAAATAGAATACTCAAAGGAACAGTCTAGAAACGGTATGGCATAATCAGGGAACTATAAGAAGTTCAGAGAGGCTGAAACCTTGAATGTTTAGAACGAAATATCAAAAAATGAGTTTAGAGAGGTGGGGGTGGGACGGATAACTATCTTGACTAGCCAGATTTTTTTTTTCCATAGGCAAAAGCAACTCAGAAAATAGTTTGTATTGTAGGGAAGTTTTTAAAGTATATTTATGTAACTATATGTAGAGAGATTGAGTGTGTGTGTGTGTGTGTGTGTGTGTGTGTGTGTGGTGTTGTATAAAGAGAATACAAAAGCAGATATCTGAGGGAGAAATGGGAGAGTAGGAGGAACGTAATGATTTTGTTATGTATGTTTCTGTATAGCCAACATAATCATAAAGTGTTTTAGCTATGCCTGTCTCTGATGATCAACACAAGATAAATTTGATAATTAGCCTAATAAGTGTTTAACAAATGTTTAAAATGTATTTTGTATTGAAAAATTTAGTGATATTCTAGATCTCTAGATGGGCAAAATACTAAAGGCACTGCCCCACTTTCCATGAACACACTAGAATCCAGCAAGCTTTGCAAGCTATGCACTTAAGAATCTAAGATTTGTCCTGTATGCTCATTCACTGGTTTGTAACATTATTGTGTCTGATGACAAATAGGAGGGTAAAAAATTCTGTCCTTAAAATTTGTCCATGGATATACTGAGTGAATTTTTCATGCATTTTTTTCAGAGCACATAAATAACAGAGCTTTTAATGAGTATGAACCATTTTGTGCTTTCTTGTTTATTTGATAAATAGTTGTATGTGTAATTGGAATTGGACCTCAAACTTTCCTTCATTGTAACTAATAACAATCCTTACTCACTAAGACTCTGCCTAATCATATTAGCTTAGGTCAGTTTACAGCAATAAAAACATCTGATTGATGGAAAAAAGACATGACAGGAAAATAAGAAAAGTAATTTATATATGGTTTTATCAACAATGATACCTACTTCTATAGATTTATCTTCTTTAGGCTATTCTTACAATTGTCTTTTCGAAATATATTTCACAGATTAAGAAAAATACTCTGTGAACAAAAGGAAGACTTCAGTCATAGATAAAAACTTTAGACCATTTTATCCATGAATTAAATAATGTAGAATCAAGAGGTATTGATATTATAAATTGAGAGTGGTAAATCTTAAAAATTGAACTTTTTATTGAATTTTCACTTTGATATAGAATTGAATACAAATATTTTCCTATATTTTACTGTGTATGCTTGCTTGCTATTGTGTTATGTACACATAATAAAATGTTCAATGTTTGCAAAGTAATCACTTGAGAAATTTTGATAATTTAAAAATTACTTTTAATTATATTATTTTTATATTTTATAAACTTATTACACCTCCATGTTTTACCTTTTGTGAGTTATTTCTTATTCTATCCATTTTCTTATTCCTATTTTTCTTTCTTTTTCATGTGTAGGTTACTGATTCTTTCCTCTCCTACAAATATTCTCTTTTCTATCAGCCCCAATTGCTACAAACATAAAGAACCTTGAGAAGGCACTTAATTCAAGCTGTACTACATTTAAGCCATTGTCTCAATAGACCAATGACAAACTAGCTTATTTCAGTTCTTTCTTTATTTTGACCTTCTCATTTTTACCTTGTATCATACTCATTTCCTGTGCCATCAACCCTTCTCTTCCTTCAAACTTGAGCCAATCAGAAGAAAATGCAAAGATAGATAATGCAAGGGATCCCAAAGATATAATTGGTGTGTTTTTAGGACATATCCTACTGTGGTATAAATTGAATAAAGGGGAGACTGAAGGAAAGGAATTTCTATTGCCCCCTCTCAGGTCCCTATACACAAATAAGTCACTACTAAATCTTGACTAACTTGATGTGGCAGGAGCCTCTAAATACAGAGCTGTAATTTAAACTTCAAGCTAAGCTAAGAAGTACACTGGAGCAGGGAATGGTGGTGCACACCTGCAACCCCAGCAACTTGGGAGG